CTTGGTTACTAATTTGATAGTTGGCTGTTATTTGGAAAGAAAATTTTATGAAGTTTAGATTTCATCACTGTATGTCGAGCCTTCTGCTCAAACCTGTATGTCGTGGTTTTCTGTATTGCTGATGCCTCTGTGTCTTTCGGTTTTATCTGAAGACAACTTAAAAGCTTTAATTCAGAGCCCTCTGTCACGTCTGTATGCCATCCTTTTGAAGATGACTAATGGCATGAGAGCCACTCCAAATTGGAAGTGCCCTAAGCTACGTGTTGCAGTGAGCGCACCATCTCTGCTGGAAAAGGGGTGTCCATTTCTTCTAGTCCGTTTTAAACTCGTTTGTGCAGTTGTGGCCCTCTCAGTATTACCATATCGCTGCTTTGATCTTAAAGTGAAGGAAGCAAATTTTAAGACCCAGAAAAATTCCTCGTGTGGCCTTAGCAGGAGCAGCATATTACAACGTTGAGTGGATGTCAAATAAAACATAAATCTGGATCTTCTGAAATTTGAACTCAAGTAGGTATTGCTTTTAGACCCCAGTGCACTGAGAAGTTTCAGGGATAGAATAGCTGTTGTTCGACATTCATTTACGTTTGAACGTTTGGGTCAAGTTGCTGCCCAGTCACACCCAGCCCTTACTGGATGTAGCATTTGTGCTCAGCATTATACTCCAAGCTTGACACATTCAATTCTCATAACACTGAGATTATATCCCCATTTCACAGATGAGGACACCGATGCTCTAAGAAGTCCATTTTCTTCCCCCACCCCTTGGCCTCCTCTACCCTGGGTGGAGACCCCAGAATGTAAACACAGGTTGCTTATACAGCCTTCTTCTCTGTAGGCATATTTCAAAGCTGCCCAGATTGCTTCATTTATGTCCTTGAATTTTTTAAAGTGACAAGTTGATTGAAGCCGCAAGTGGTCGGGATTATTTCAGATTAGTGTTACGCCTTACTGTAACAAACCCACTTACTAACTTGCTCTTTGGATTGCCACTGTGAGTTTTAGACCCAAGACAGGGACTAGACAGTAGGCTCTGTATTATTAGTAAGTTGCTTGGACCAACCGATGATCTCCATTTTTCTCCCTCTTTCCATCCGTCCTCTCACCCCCACCTTTATAAACCAGCAGTGGAGGCCGTGGACCTAAATGGGCATTGTAGAAGGCTTTTCATTTTCGGGGTTGCTTAGAATCTAAGGTCAGGCCCTTGAACTCAGATGAGACCAAGCCTGAGTAATTAGACCCACAGATACTGAAGTCAGAAGCAACCAAAACTGCACGTGGATTAGGTTTGCGTGGGCTACATGATTCGTGGATGTAAGTTATGGAAGTTTAGGAGCACTTCCTTTGAGGTTTAACACCATCAGATAATACTAAATGCATCAAAGGGTCCCCCTGGGTACGAAACATCCCCCCACAGTTGAGATAAAAAAATCAGAGTATCCATGAAATGTTGCCACGGCAGAGGAGGAGTAACGGGACACGAGTTGATCAGGTTGATGATAAATAACTGTCTTGTGATGTGGCATCTCGTTGAGAAACCTACAAGACAAACCATAAATAAGCAGAGTGTATTGGTTAAGAAAATTATTGGTATTATCACCTGTCGCCCGTCTTCCATCTCTGCACAGGAATACATAATCCCAATTAGTTAAAACGATTATTGTGTTCCTTTCTGATTCTCCAGGTTGGTTGGTCAGTTCTTCTGGTCAAGGCCAGCTTGGCCGGCTGGTCTCTGCAGACTGCAGGTGGTTCATCTGAGGCCAGATGGTGTCAAATGGACTCACTTTCCTGTCTGGTAGTTGGCAGGCTGGTGAGTCTAGAGTGGCTTCAGCTGGGACAGCATGTGTCTGCTCCTTGTGGTCTCTTACCCTCCAGTCAGGCTAGCCTGGCGTTCTTCACCGGGAGGCTTCAGGATTTCAAAGACATTGAAGTGCAAATCCGTGCATCGGAGTCCTCCGTAAGCCTTTCCCTGGGTCATGTTTGCTAATGTCCCTTTGGCCAAAGCAAGTCACGTGATCCAGCCCAGCTTCAGCGAGTGGAGACGTTGATACGCGTTCTCGATGGGAGGAGTGGCAAATCCGATTGCCACGGTGCATGTGACCCGGGAGGGCAGGGGTTGGTGACCATTGTGCCATCTCTCACGTATGTCAGAGTAGCTTCAGGTGGTTGCACTGGCATTAACACCTCGGCCAGACCGAATCTGGAGAAGGGAGACCGCGTGTTTGTCTGTACCTTCAGTTTGTTGTGGGCTGTTTCTGTGGGCTCTTCTTTTATTCTGTCACGTTTGAAATTTGGTCACATTTATGGGTAGACTCTCTTACCTTGTGTTCTTGAGTTGTGATTCCATCTTTGGTCATGATTAAAAATTTTTGATTCGTCTACGCTATGGTGTAAATATGACTTTGTTTTCATTTTGGTATATACAGTGGGTGTTCGTCTTTCAGGAAAGTTTCATGCTTCATCCGGTGTGTTAAACCCCTGGCTTGAGCTTCCTCTCGGGCAGTTTGGGTGATGCACTCATGGCAGCTCCCAGAATTGCACCACTGTGACCTGATACACTGGCTTCCTATTCACTGATCCTTTTTTCTGTTGTTATATCTGTGGTGTTTACTATTTAGTACCAAATTCCACCTCATTTTATTAGTCTGTAATCATAACCCTGTACATAATGACACCTGTGTTTGAATTTAGTCGTAAGACAGGGCTCCAGACATTAATATGTACTCACTGTTAACTCACAGTACATCTCACCCGGGGGGGGGTTCAATCTCAACTTCTGCATCATTGGCATTGTGGGCCAGATAATCCTTTGCTGTGGGAGGCTCTTCCGAACATTATGGGATGTTGAGCAGCAGCCCTGCCTGTACCCACTTGACGCTTGTGGCCCCGCCCCTTCCACCCTCCTTGTGACAGCCTACAGTGTCTGCAGAGACTGTCAGATGTCCCCTGGGAGGGAATGGAAAGCGGGAGATAAGTACAGATGCCTCTGGCTGAGAACCGCTGCTGTGTCCTGGAGACACTGAGGCAGAAGAGAGAAGGAAATGTGTGCAGTATGCGTTAGTACAGAGCAAACCAGGATTGGCAGCCTGACAGGGAGAATCTGTAAGTGGGGAAGGGGTGTGGAATTTTTTTTTATTGAGGTATATAGTCAGTTAATTAATGTTGTGTCAATTTCTGGTGTACAGCACAATGTCATACATGGATATACATATATTCATTTTCATACTCTTTTTCACCATAAGCTACTACAAGATACTGAATATATTTCCCCATGCTATACAATATAAACTGGTTTATCTATTCTATATATACCAGTTAGTATCTGCAAATCTCGAACTCCTAGTTTCTCCCTTCCTACCTCCCTCCCCACTGGCAGCCACAAGTCTGTATTCTGTGTCTGTGAATCTGTTTCTGTTTTATATGTAAGTTCTTTTGCTTTTTTTTTTTAAGATTCCACATAGGAGTGATATCATATGGTATTTTTCTTTCTCTTTCTGACCTATTTAACTTAGAATGACATTCTCCAGGGCCATCCATGTTTCTGCAAATGGCATTATTTTATTATTTTTTATGGTTGAGTAATGTACCATTGTTTAAGTATACCACAGCTTCCTTATCCAGTCATCTGTCAGTGGACATTTAGGTTGTTTCCATGTCTTGGCTATTGTAAATAGTGCTGCTATGGACATTGGCCTGCAGGCGTCTTTCTGAATTAAGGTTCCCTTTGGATATATACCTAGGAGTGGGATTGCTGGGTCATATTGGTAAGTCTATTTTTAGTATTTTGAGGAATCGCCACATTGTTTTCCACAATGGCTGCACCAAACTGCATTCCCACCAACAATGTAGGAGGGTTCCACTTTCTCCACAGGGGTGTGGAAAATTTTCAGTTACCTTAAAATTTACCCTAAGATGGCCCCGGATGCCTCTGAATTAACCAGGAAGCATCAAGGTGGGGCTTACTACACACTGAAAGGCTCATCAGTATCTCAACTTCATTATGTTAGAAGTGGATTGAATGTAAATTCCATCTCTCAAAAAAAACAAAAATTTCAGGAGATATGCTGACCACGGATAATGGATTTTGGAAAACTCTTTATTTGGGAAGAGTTAAACATATGTAAAAATACAGAAAATTGTATCATGACGCTCCTGGTACTCATCACCTAAGTTTATAAATGATTAGTTCATGCCCAGTCCTGGTACAGCTGCACCCCACTCACTTCCCCTGCTCTCCACTGAGTTATTGTGGAGTAAGATCATTTCATTTGTCGCTATTTTAATATGTGTCTAAAAGAAAGAACTTAAAAACCAAAATCATACTATGCTGGTGGAATTTTAATCTTCCAGGAAGGACGAGAATGAGAATTTATGAGTAGTATCAGCAGTGAAGGGAGAAGGGTGAGGGTCACGATCAAAGAGGCTTGACGTTTTGGGGGATGAAAAACTCCAGGGAGAAATGAAGCTGGGAGGTGCTGTTTCTTCGAGGTCCTTTCCTCCCTACTTTCCACCTGCTTGAGTGACTCTTAGAATGCCTCTTATGAGTTAAGGCACAGGGGATGGGGATCCTTAGAAAGGAGAGTAGGCTGGCAGGGAACAGAGCCAAGGAAGAGGAAAAAAACAGAGTCACTAAAAGGTATTGAAATACTCGGTTAGTGATGGGTTGCTGTCCGATGACTTTCAATGAGTTTTTAGCCAGTTGGGGCCTACTTTTAATAAAACAAAGCGAGAGGAACGTCCGCTTGCATTTTAAGATTTCGCTGGGACTACAGTATTTCTCTCCTGTTCTGATGTATTCTGGGAAGTTTCTTTGATTTGATTTAGGCTTCCCCACCTGATTTTATTATGTCGTAAATCTGTGTTTGGCGAGAGCCCTGGTGCATGGGAGACCCAAGTAGCTTGCTAGAGAACATCTGTTTCCCCCTTTCTCTTTAGAACATTAAACAGGCTCTTGTGTCTGATGCTAGAACAGATTTAACCAATCATGTTTCCTTTACATGTAGGTCAGTCCAAGGGACAATTCTGCACTGGATCCTATTATCCATGGGTTGAAGGGCGTCGTACATCATGGTAAGTAAGCTCCGTACACTTCCTTTTGATAGGATGTGAAGGCTAATGTCTCCACCTCAAGGAATGGGGTTATCTTGCAGAGGACGGAGAGTGATGCCCATTCTTCCTCCACGGATGTTGAAGGGCATGAGGGCCATTATTTGATGGGTAAAGAGCACACCCATTTATTACCTGCAGATGCATCTGGGTTAACAGTAAGCCATTTGTTGCTCTTCAGGTACCATTTGGAATGCATGTGTTATAAATCAGAACGCCCTAAGATGCGCCATTCATATGTGTTGAACCTGCCACTTGCCTCACATCTATCCTAGAATTATTCTTCTTTCAAGTCACTTTTCATTTATAAATTTCTTGATTTGCCTCTCAGATTTAGGGGGGAAAATTTCAGTAGCCGTGACAAGTCATTAAACTTGGCTGCATGTGAGCAGGCATCATCTACTAGAATGGTAAATGCTAGGCTGTGTTCTGTGCGACAGACGTCTTATCCTCGGGCATAAAACTGGGAGAGAAAGTAAGATAAATGGGTTCTGTCTTGCCCAACTGTTTTTTATTGGAGGAATTTCCCTGCAACTTTATTATCAGCGATGCATCATTACCTGTGACATCAGGATCCTCTAATTTCAAAAGTACCCTTGTCACAGGGAGGTGTGGAGTCTGGAGGTAATGTAATGATTTGCAAAGTTTTAATAATCTAATTAGAATTCCAAAGACATTGACAGAACTAGCATTAGTAACCATAATAAATCTCCCTTTCATCACTGTGGCTGTGATAAAACATCTTCACACCTTTTCTGGGAGGATGTCTTTTGACATTAGCCAACTCTGCAGAGCTTAACAAACACCTTCCCCTCTTTCTCTCAGAGAAGTAAAACCAGTTGTCAGTGTTCAGTTGAAACGAGTAGGATTTTGGCTTAATTGTTCTGCTCTTATAACTATTTAATCGTGTAGCAGGTAACGAGGATAAACCTAGTAGGAAACTCAGGGGACTGAAAAGACCCCATAGAGAAAGTTTCCATTGCTGCTTCTCCGTGTCAGTTTGTCTCTGGGGGAAAAAAAAAAGCCCATAGGTAGAGCTGGGAGGGGTGGGATGAACAGTTCCCCTGGGGAAGAGAACACCTTTGCCAGAACTGCTGCCGTCTGCCCCTTTGTGATCTGATGATGATAGTGAGAGTGCTGGGCGTGTGTGGTCGGGAAATTTGCGCTGTGCTCTGGGCAGCCTCAAAGGGCAAAGGAGGCTGGGGTTACGGGCAGCCACGCTGTGGACGCTGAGCTCTTTCCCAGAGCTCCTCAAACACCCAGCTGATCGAACACCTCCTTGAAATTCCAGTGCACAGTGCAGACAGAATTTCGAGGTTTGAAATGTGCTAAATGATGGGTAGATCTTCCTTCCCCCATCTCTTCTTCCTGTTTTAATACAAATGCTCCATGAGGAATTCTAAGAATCTTCAAAACAAGTACTTCTTCAGGCTGAGAGGAAGCGCTCCATCAGCTATGGCATTTCAGGAGGTCTGTGTGACCCGATTTCCACGAGGGTAATTGAAGAAGATTCTATATGTTAAAGAGAAGCAGCATTCTTTAGCCCCCATGTGCCCACATCTCAGTAAACCCACTGCGATCATTCAGTTCAGGAGCTGTGTGCTGGCATAATCGTGTTACGCATCTGCATCATCTGCAGTTCCCTTCTAAGGCTGTTACGTGTAGGCATACGCTTTACCTGTCACCGGGAGGGCGGCAGAGATGCCTGGGATGCGGTTTCAGCTCAGACTCCTAATTGAGAAGTCAGAGGAGACCCGCAAAAAATAATTACTTGCTAAGGAAGTTCGCTCCTTTATTCAGCAGGAGTGTCACACGCCCACTCTGTGTCATCCCGGGGTTGGTGCACTGATGAAGACAGACACCGGCCAGCCCTCAGGGACCTGGAAGGAAGTGAATGCCGCCCGCTCTCCCTCCAGCCTGCCTGGAAGGGTACCCCTTTGCCCCTGCTGTTTCTGTTTCCTCTGTCAGAAAAGTTCTTCCCTTTGCTCATAGCCAGGATATTTCCGTCGAGTTATTTCAGGTCTCAGTTCAGATCTCGCCGCCTCAGACGATTCTGTCTTAATTAGCCAATCAAGTGCCTCCCCACCCCTATCACTCCTTGTCACAGCATCCTAGGTTTCTTTCTTTGAAGCACTTAAAAGTATCTGTAATAACTTTGTTTGTTTACTCATGTATCACCTACCAAAGTGTAAGCTTCCTGAGGGCAGAACCCACCTGCCTAGGGCACCTAAGAGATGTTCAGTAAATATTAGCCAAATGAATCAAGTAAATGTACAAATAAGTGAAAATATCAAAATATAAAATTGAAAGAAGGGGAGGAGGAACTAAAGTCCACTCGGGTTTGGCTTTGGGAAGAGAAGGAAGTGAGATGATGCCCTGGAAATCTGATTTTAACCTCAGTTCCAGAGCCATCGCTGACTCTCCTTTTGATAACCTTCATCCCTTCTGTCATTCTTCTAAAAGAGAATGAACATCTGAAATCGGTAAGAAAACTCTTGTTGGAACTAGAAGCGTTTTCAGTTGAAGGTCCTGTGCGGGATTTGAATGGTCTGTTAATACGACGGGACGTACACAGTCATGCCCTTCACAGAATCTCTGGCTGGGGAATGATGACAGAGATGGGTACAAAGAATCCATACGGATTTCTGTTACAGCTCAGAATTGGCTTCTATTTCCTCAGCTCTGGGAGTCATATCATAGGATATTAATTCCTCATTAAGTGAATTGTTTTTAATAGGGAAAATCTTATGTGTTCCTTTAGCTGAAATGGCAGTGAGTCATCTGGTCTTACCAGCCAGCCACTGGCATTTGGTCATTGGGGTCCTTTGTGAAGCAGATACCAAGATGGCATTTTAAGTGCAGGTGAGGGACTGCCTGGGGAGGAGAAAAGGGAGAGGGGGAGGGTATAGCTCAGTGGTAGAGTGCATGCCTAACATGCATGAGGTCCTGGGTTCAATCCCCAGTACCACCATCAAAAAATAAAGAAATAAATAAACCTAATTACCTCCATCTCCCAAAAAACCAACCGAACAAACTGAAAAAGTGGAGAAGGAGCAGGAGGAATCGTGGGGAGAGCACTGAAGCCCCAGTGCAGGCCAGACACCCCTGAAGGGAGAGAGAAGCTATGGGGACTGGCTGAAGCAGCTCCAAAGAGGTCGCATCTGGGCCATTGGAGAACCCAGAGCCCAGACCGCCTGTGACAGGAGTCCTGGGCAGGCAGGAGTGTCCGCGCCCGCCCCGGGTGTAGTCAGGGGCAGGGCATCCCAGCCAGTGTGTCCTCCTCATGCGCACGGGGATGGAGCCTGGAGGCACTGCAGCTAACAGGCCCCCTCACAGCAGCCAGTCTCTGGAAGGAAGGTCTTCGGGGTGCCTCCCCTTGCTGGCCCAGAGGTTCACATCTCCCTTCCAAAGGCATTTTCCTAATCAGATTACCAAAAAATTTTTGACTTGGCCCTTCCATTTTTGAAATGCTTGGAGCTTCTGACAGATACCGCTCGCTCCTCTTACGCATCGTTACTAGGTGCCTGACCTAAGTGCACCACGCAGCTAGGCCTCGAGCCTCGAGAGACCACAGCGGGCATGGACCAGCCCTCAAGTGTTTATAGACACTTGGGAGAGACGTACGGTTAAGTACTCAGTGACATTACAGAGTAGGGAGCAGCAGCTATAACTCCGACCTGGGGGTGTAGAGAAGGTACCTCGGAGTGGACCATTAAGACCTAAAAAGCGTACATAGAGATTGTTCAGGCAGAGAAGGGAGTGTGAGGTTTCAAGCAGCACCAGTCTAGAGGCGACACATTTGAGACCCTGAGCTCCGAGAAATTGCTTCTCTAACACTGGAGAGAGACACCTAGCAACGTCTTGGCAGCAGAAACGGTTCTTTCTTCGGAGTTCATTTTTCTCTGTAAATTGTGATCTATACAAACTCAAGAATCATGAAGGAATATAAACAGAATGTTGAGAGGTGATTTGCCTTTGACTCTGGTCCTTTCTATCCATTGAGCAATAAATGGAAGTAGTAAAATGTATCGAATCAGATATTTTCTTTACACTCCCACCGGCATCCCCCAGAGAGGAAAGCTTCAGGGAGAGACTGGATGCTGCTACACTGGCTCGGTAATCTGCGCTGCCTTTTGTAGGCAAGAACCAGGACTTGCAGGTAGCCACACCTAAGAGAAGTAAGTGGTGTCAAAGAATTTAGTCTAGTTCTCATTTCTTCAGAACCCATTAAAAGAATAAACTTGGATGTGAATTGGTTAAAAAAAAACCCAATTCCCTTATAAGTAGTTGTACCCAGTTGACCAGTGCTGAGAAATGTACATTATATCTCTATCAATTAAAAAGTATTATTTTTCTTTCAAGTTTTTGAATTATGTACTTTCTGTTCTTTTTTCATAATATCTACCCAAAGGAAATCCAGCAGACTGTATGTGTACATGTTGTAGGAGGCTGTTGAAAAGGCATTGAAACACTAACCACTCTCACATGTCAGTCATCTAAGAGCGAGCAGTTTTTTTATTTTTGAAAGGCAGTGGGCTAGTAGTGATGGTTTGGTTCCAGAGCTTAGACTGTCTGTTCCTCTCTTCCCATCCCCCTCCTGGCCATCACTTCTCTCTTCTGCTGCGTGTCCTACCTTAGCGAGCAGGAAGGCATCTTCCTCCTTCACAGTAAGATGAGAGGGACAGTTAGAAATGGCCTCAGACACCACTCAGAGTGAACTGGCTCTTCTCCCTGTCCTCCCCACCCCCAGGCTCTTCTGAGAAGGTTAGCAGTGAAAGTACAAATAGATTATCACCTGAGAACACCCCTTGATGTCACAAAATGAGGCTCTTGCAAGCTTTTCTTGTTACACAACTTAGTAACGGAAGTTGGGTCTATGAAAGATCAAAACTGTCTTTGCAGAACAGCTCCCCACAACTAACTAGTTTATTCACTGGACTCACTTTGCAGGTATTTTCTACCCA